CCCCAAAACCCCAAAACCCCAAAACCCCACTCAGAATATAAATCATTGAATAATAATACAGTATGGAGAAGAAGAGACCAGATCTCCTCCCAGGCAAGTTTTTAGGCGTATATTTCAATGGGTTTTAGTGGGGGATTCTGGGGTTTTGGTGGGGGAATTTTGGGGTGGGGGAAGGGGGATTGGAGGGTTAAAAGGGGATTTTAGTGGAAGTGACGTTTGGGGGAGAGGGGAGTGGGGATGGGGGAAAGGGGTTGGTAGAGGATTAAGGGGTCTTTTGATAGCACTACTGGAGATAAATGTTATCATTAGTTATAAGATTAACTATATTTATGATATTTAGAACTTGTTAACTGCCTGGAGAATTATTGTCTTTTACGTTAAGGAGCAATTTTGGTAATTAGTAGATTTGGTGTTTAGATATATAGTTTTTCTCAAATAAACAAATAGTATTAGAAATTCTTCAACCGAGAGAAATAAAATTCTGATTACCTGATTTCCTAAACTAAAATATCTATTGAAATCATACCAAATAATTTCTATCGAAGATTTTTCTTTGTGAAAATACCTGAGCAGCCTACTCCTAGCTGAATGTATCTATTCTAAATATTTAATACAGAGAAAGATTGCTCAGAAGACTCAGTTGAGGATTGCGATCCAAACTCAGACGATGATGAACAAACATATGTGCATCAGTTAGCAAAGATCACTGATGTCGGCAACTCAGCAGACCTAGGCCCAATGTCTCCTGAAGTTAAATAAGGCTTTTGAGCTGAAACAGAAACGAATCTCTGAGAAAGCGAAACAACATGCTGAGAAATACAAGAATGCTATGGACTCAGAGTCCAGTTATGCCTCCTCAGATAATGAAGAGGTTAAGAAAGAACCTGAAGTAGCCCCAACTGAGAAGGTTGTGAAAAAGTCTCCCAAGAAGATCACTATCAAAAGCTTTGCTCTTCTTGGGGTCCTTGGAGAAGGCTCTTTTGGAACAGTTCATCATGTGATTAATAAAGATGATGGAAAAGAGTATGCCTTGAAAATAATCCCCAAAAGGAATATTGAGAAGAAACAGCAGAATGAGATCCAGAGGGAAAGAAGTCTCCTCATGGCTATCGACCATCCCAACATAGTTAAGTTGCATTATTGTTTCCATGACAGGACTAACCTGTATTTCGCAATGGATTGATGCTCCAATGGAGAATTGTACACCTATATGAGGAATGAAGGTGTGATTGACTTGAAAGTAGCCAAATTCTTAGCAGCAGAAATCGTCAATATGATCACTTACATGATGGACAGAAACATCTGTCATAGAGATATCAAGCCTAGTAATCTTATATTTGATGAAGAAATGCACCTGAAGCTGATAGATTTCGGATGAGGAAAGTACTACGCAGATAATAATATACAAGAAGATCATAAACCAACACAATCAGGTTCTCAAAGCGGATTGAAAGAGAGAACTTGCACCTTCCTTGGTACATGTGAATACATGTCTCCAGAAGTAGTCGTTGGCACTCAAGCTAATAGCGCTATAGATCTCTGGAGTCTAGGAGTGATCATCTACATGTTCTTCACTGAGTGCTCTCCATTCAGAGGAGAGTACGACCAAGAAACATTAGATAAAATCGTGGAAGATTGACCTTCATTCCCTGAGGAATTCCCAGAAGATGCGAAAGATTTATGCATAAAACTCCTAGAGAAGGATCCAGAGAAAAGGCTCGGAGCTGGTTATCCAGGAAGTGAGTATGACATGACTGCACTAAAGTCACACAAGTTCTTCGATGGTATAGATTTTGACAATCTCTTCACTTCCACTTCTCCAATTCCAAAGATAGACAAAATGATGAATTCAATAAAGAGTAATATAATTTCCAAGTATCGTGTTAAGAATGCAGAAGAAGAGCTTAAAAGTCCTGAAATAGAAGAGCCTAAGTGCCTTGAAGTAGTAGAAATGCCGAAGCAGATAGCTAAGGCTCAAACCTCAGAAGCACATGATTCCAACAAAATAGAGTCATCATGTATCAAGCAGAAGCTGAAAATTGAGGATTGGAAGGTAGAAAAATAACATCACAATCATTCACACAGAGCTGATAAAATTGAGATCTAAACTACTATTCTTTTATAAATCTGTGATTTCCATTGTTACGGATGAGCCTGCTCTCTACATTTACAAGCTACGTTCAGGCAACCTCATTGAAAGGTATCCCTTGGATACCTGCAAGGTCAATATTAAGGGAAAGAATAAGATAAAGATAACCTCAAAGACTAAAGAGAAGTTCAAGAAGATTTCAAATGCTTTTAAAGTCAAGAACCACAAGAAACACCACAGAGATTCTTCCAACTCCAAGAGTTTGGTTGAGGTTCTCAAGGAAATTAGGAGTTAAGCTAATTTTAGCAAGATTTTCAAGAGAGTTTTAGCCTTTTAAATCCAACCTATAATTTAGTTTAAGTCTCTAAGGGAAATTGTTAGATTAGCATAAGCTCTTCAAGCAGACTCTATTTCAACTTATTAGCATAGACTTGGGGTTTTGGGGTTTTGGGGTTTTGGGGTTTTGGGGTTTTGGGG